GTTTGTCATAAACTTCAAGAATTCCAAATGGGTGATGTGAGCAGTCAGCTCTTCAGCCTGAGGCTTGCTGACTAACTTGCTCGCACCAGCCTTGCTAGCATTCCGCTCCTTTTTGTCTCTAAAGCGGATGCATTTCGTGATGAGGGAACCATCTGCGGTCGTATGCACTTCAACCCCTGATTCCAACTCAGTACTGTGGTCCAAATGCACCTCTGCTTCGTCCGGACGTCTATCCTTTGGAGGCGCTATAGGTTCTTGAGAAGCCATCTTAGAAGTACTCTCCTCACAGACAGCGCTAAATGCTTCGAGGTCTTTTAATGTGTCCTGCGGGAGAGTTACAACTCTAAGAATGGATCCTTGGACGTTTGTACCTGCAACAAACGAAAGCGCCGGTTACGTTGAGTTCCACCTCCGACGATGGCCTCTCTGTTCGGAGAATCTTCTCGGATCCCGATATCTGGTGTTTTCTCTGTTGTAAGAGAATATTGTATTCAATGATTGTTGTAATAAAATCAAGGTGTCCTTCCCAAGGTAATAAATGTCCGTATTTATAGGGCATGGGAATTAGTGCCCTTACCTAGGTCAATTAACCTAGGTAATTGGGCTGCCCCGTGTTTACGGCACCTCGGGATTTGAGCCCATAAAGGCCGCCATTTCCCCTTATGATGCGTATGCCACGTGTCTTATTCTGGTTGGCCCATTTTGGGCACATTTTAGGGTTGCACGTGTCACGACCTGACTGGTCCACGTGTCAAGGGTATTTTTTACCCTAAACACATCTTTTCTTGCTTCTGTACTATCATGGCTACACTATCTAAACCCTTTGTCGGCATCGACAAATGATGGTGACCATATCAAACTTACTTCTCGGAACGTTTCAACCAAAATCACACTTTTCGCTTAACTCTTTTGGCACCCCGTATTTCATATACCAAGAGATGTCAATTATCATATCTTTTTTTCTCCAAATCCCTTTTAGAGAAACAATCTATTTTCGACATCTCGTAGTTTACCTACCAAGTGTTGCCAAACATGAACTTCTCTCTCTAAAACCATTATGGAAAAATGTAAAATTCCCTTCTACACAACCATTAGATTTTTCTATATCGCAGGAATTCCTAAATTTTTTTCTTCTCTCATACATTGCAAGCACACGCTAGCACAATTCTTCATTTAAATTTTTGCAATCGATGGTTCACGTGCCTCAACAACCGGTTTAAAAAAAAATAATAAAAAAATAATAAAAAAAAACCTCCAATACTCAACTCTCTTCGAACCCTCTTGGAGAATTACAATACAATACAACCCTTCTCTACTATACTTCAATTCCTACATTAAACAAGATTTGTGATATTATATCCAAGATTGGTCTCTCGTTACGGACGTCCATCTTGCAGGAGCGTGTAAAGGATAATAATATCATCAATATCATTATCCCTTGATTTACTCCTTGATTTACCCAATTAAGTTGATTGTCAAAGATTTCCCTAACTATTGTCTAATGTACCTATGTTGAGTTATTTAGAGTGTTGTCGTGGAGAGCTCGCTCCACTTGTTTGCGCGCCCATGAAAGGCAAGCGCGACAAAATCGCGCTGAGTTTCTGGAAAATCTGTCAAGTATTGGAGGCGTGCCCGCGCCTCCAGATGGCGCGCCCGCGCCATGGTTTTGCGCGACCCGCGCCTAAACCGCGACAAAATCGCGTTTAGGTTTCTGGAAAATTGGATTTTTGGAAGAACGAGGAGGAGCGCCCGCGCGAGCAAGTGGCGCGCTCGCACCCCATGGTGACGCGCCCGCGCAGCTGTGGTGGCGCGCCCGTGCCTCCTCGCTCGCGCCCGCGCCTCTTCGCTCGTCTTCGGTTTTGCGGTTCTTTTGTTTTTGGATACAACGAAAAACTCCTTCCTCTCTGAAATTCTTCCCTCTCTACATTATTATTGAAGAACTTTGCAAACTCTTCTTTAATTCTCCATCATTAAATGTTATTGATTGAGAATTTAATCATCTTATCACACATCTTTGTGCTTAGAGTGTGGTGTTGTCTATTGTATCTCAAAGTGAGTTTCCGGTTTCAACCCAAGCACCGAGGTGGGGGAAATTATCACTTTAGGAAAGTGTATACACGCCTTAGACAAGTATCCAGTATAGAAGACTCACGTGGTCATTGGTTTTCTCATGTTCTTGGTGGTCTTCGGCTTGGAGTGAGGCAAGTAAAGAATCTTTCATGTTAGTATTATTTTGTTGTAATTTCTGTTTTACATTGTTAATTCAGTGCTTGGTTTGTAATACTACGTTAAGTATTTGGTGTTGTAAATTTCGTTTGAATTTATACACATTCTAGGGTTTGTCCACCATTGTAAAGTGATTCTTGTTGTGTAGAATTGCATTGTAAACCCTAACAACCTAGACATATACTCTAATGTATCTAGTCATAGTCTAATGCTTATCTATGTACTATAAATACTCTTGTATACTCTTCAATAATTTAAGCTTTCCAACATTCTCTTTCTCATAACTCTATCAGACCTTACTTTTCCCCAGAATTAGACGTGTGATATAAATTGTTAGAAATAATCCTACGTAGTTATTTACAATCATATCTGATATATCCATAATTTATGGAGATATATACAATAAATTCCCTGTAACAAAACTGACATATTTATACTCTCTCCGTTATTTTAAAGTGCATCAATTTGACCAGCAATAAGTTTTAAGATGGTGAATTAAATAGAGTAGAATATTGTGTATGTGGGGTTTCTGAAAGATTAAAAATATTTTAGATTACAGAATATAGGGTAATAATTTACTATTAAAAAATCGAAGAATGTGATAGGATAGAAATAATAATAAAAACAAATAAAATAAGAGTGAGGACCATATGAGGATAAAGATATAACTAAAAATAAAATTAGATGTCCAATAAAGAAAGTAATGCATATAAATAAAAAGCGACAGCTCTAGAAAAGTGATGCACTTGAAAAACTGAGGGAGTATATAATAATTGAAATGTATTTTAATGAATTAATTTGAAATAATACATTAGAGATATTTGAAACAATTTCGTACATGAAGTTAATTGTTACATTGATAATGTAGCATATTTGATTGAAGTAGTTGTAACTTGAAAAGGAGCATATGAGAGATGCAAGTAATACAACTAATAAAAAAAATAAAAATTAAAAAAAAAAGTGTAGAAGTTAAAAACAAAAACTCTCCCCTTTCTCTCTAAAAACCAAACCCCCAAAATTGTTACTTCTCTGCCGCCGGTGGCCTAAACAACTTCGTTTGTCTTGGGTCACCAGCGAGCAGCTTCTTGGTAATTTAGCCTTTTTTCTAGGTAGTTTAATTAAGTTTGTTGGCTGCACCATGTTTTAAACGGAGGGTATTTTCTTCGGGTCAAATTAGTGAAGCAATCTTTGACGATCTACTTCCAACGGGCTACTCCCAATGCCGCCGATTCTGGTTATTGTGCATAAGTTAACCTCGTCGGTAAAGGTGAAGTTGAGGTTAGGGTTTTTGTTTTGGTAAATTGAGGTCGGTTTTCAAGAACAGAGGCTTTGGGGAATTCGGCTTCTTCGTCTCGCGGATCACCCGTCACCGTTCTCTAGAGCTTTTCAATTGGTGGCGATAAGGTTGGGGATCCCTTCGTCGCCGGTTTTCTCTTCTTCCTAGTATGGTATTTACTTTTGTGTAATTAAGGGAAAGCCTAGTGGTTTAGTTTTAGCTTTTCTTTGGTGTTTTAATCTGCTTTGTTTTAAGTCTTTATGGCTAGCTTTTTGAGGAACTAAGGGGGATGTTGGGTATTTCACATGTTGAAGAGAATGATGTCTCTTCTCATGGGTTAGAGTTTATAGTTGGGCAGCTGGAGAATCCTTTTGGGATTTTAAATTTTGTTAAGAGTTTAAAAGATGAGGGAAAAATGTTCTACAAGCGAAATCAAATGGGGTTTGCTATTGCAAAATACTCTCTTACTCTTTAGATGTTGTCCTTTGCTTCAGTTTGTATTGATGAGGATAAATTGATGTTTTCAGGCACTGCTGTGTCCCTTAATCTGAACTTGGGTGCTTGCTTCATCAAGGTGAAAGACTATGATAGAGTGGGTCAATTATGTTCAGCGGTTTTGTGTTTTGATACTACTAATGTGAAAGCTTACTTTAGAAGGGCGATTGCGGCGTTAGAGCTCAATAAACCTACCTTAGCTTTCATGGACCTTGCACAAGCCCTTAAAATAGATCCTAATAACAGTGAGTCCCAACAAAAACTAAAGGAGGTGATATCCTTATTAGGTTGGCCTGGTCTCCAGATTTTGTTGATGAGGCACTAACAGTTTCAAGGGAGGATGAGAAGTTTAGAGATTATGTTCATTGTGGGAAGGAAGATAATGGTAGGAGGTTAGGAAAAAAAAGGGAAAAGGAAGGAAGGAGATGATCGTGGTGATGGTCATGTTTGTAGGTGTATAGGTGTACAGGTGTGAAATACGATACCAAATTGGAAAAAGAAAGTTGATGGCAATTCTTTGGAATTGGAAGGTAAAGTCAACCCTACCAACCAAGATCTTAGGCCTAACGTTATTGATAACAATTGTGTTCTGAAGGGAACTTCAGAAACAAAAAACTCAAATCTGACAGGGTTAAGTTTTCAATTCTCAAGCCAGAAGCGAATTGATTCCTATTTGCATCTCGCTCCAACAATGTATGGAGCAATTTCCAAAGGGCGAACAGTACAATACTATTGTTCTCTCCAAACGAATTTCATTACCATCCGAGTAGCCAATCCTTTAAAGAAGATGGATAATGGTGAAACTCAAGAAGGTTCTACACCAATGAAGTTTAGTCACCCCCTTGTGGAAGGGCACGATAGGTGTGAAACATCTCCAGATTTGATGCAAGAAGATCCAGCCATAGGTATGGCAAGTCATGAGTTATCATGTGAAGCTACGTCGACACTCCTACCAATTTCGTCGGTTTCTTCCCCTCTGCAGACTTCCGTTCACCCAAGAACTTCCTCCTCTGATATATTGTTGGGTTTTGTGTCGTCTCCCCGTCCCAGGTTTAGAAGGAAATATGTCACTCTGCAAAGTAGGTCTCCAGCATGTTTGACTAACTCTTTGTTTTGCAGGTTAAGCGGCTCTAAAAGAATAGCATCATGTCCCACTGGGTATACTTGGTTTCCTAAATGTAAGAAGTTATATGGTCCGACCCCCAATGTTCTATCATGTAATCCTGCTTTCTTTACTTAGTTTAGGTTGTAATCATGCTTTTCATTTATAGAACTCTTTGTCAAAAAAAAAAAAAAAAAAAAAAAAAGACCTTATAAATTCCACATTGCCTCTCTTAAAGCTAAACAACATCTTTAAATAATTTGCTGAACAATGTTTAATATGAGCAGTGAGGATAGCTGCGCCAAAGTGGAAGGAGGGTCCTCCACAATTCTCTGATTAGTTGATGTGTTTAGGCGCTTCTGAGCTCATAATTTTTTTAAAAAAATAATTTATAATTTTTTTTTAAAATTTTGTAATTGTAAATGAAGAGGTTTAGGAGGGAAAATATAAATTAGTAGTTATTACTATAGTATGTAATATGGATTTATTGCATCCAATAAATCTTTGGCAGCAAGCTTGAACTATGTTTATTGTTATAAGTCCTATTTCATAATTGCTTACATGGGTAAAATTACCCTTTATATTAATCAAAGCCTTGAATCAGCCTATTATTCATTGGCTTGAGTGCGGAAGCCACTTAGGCTTTCAAACAAAAGCAACAAGTACACAAACTTTTTATAACCAAAAGTACAACCTTTTTTTTTTTATGCAACGTTTTGACTCAACTAAACTATCAAAATTTTGTTCATTGAGATCAAAATGGACACTTTAAAATAAAAGAATGACATCCCAAAATCTAGGCTTACACTTTTATGTTATGAAGAACAATTCATATCTCTTAACCTCTTTTTCCTCTTCCAAACCAAGAAATACCCAAGACCTCCAAGTACTAAAAACAGAACTATTCCATCAGCAACAAGTATCAAAACCAAAACCCATTTTTGCAAAGCTCTCTTCTTATGCTTCCCAATTCTTCCCTTAGGAACCTTAACCATGTAACTCAACCCGCTTCCTCGATTAACTTGTTTAACCCCTCTAACCATATCAAAGAACATGCATTCCCTAGTGCGTGATGAGTATAATGCAGCTGCACAAGTGCAGTCATTTAAGCAAGAATTCGCGCATCTTGTTTTGCTACTATTACTCATTGAAGTAGCATTCTTTAGTAAACTATCAGCATCTTTTAACTCGAGCATGATCCCTACCTCATCTTTGCCACACTGATTTCCTGTGATAAACTCTTCATTGCAATCGCCGTTTGAACTATCTTGGTCCCTTGCTAACATTCTTATACACGAACATGTCCTAGAAAATGTGCAAATTCCATAGGCAGAGCAAGCCAGGGGAAGATCACAAGTAGTATTTAGGACTTGAAATGATGCCTCTAACTTGTCCTTGTAGGGTGAGTAGTAGTAAAGACCGAGGTTTCCAGTGTTGTTATCCAGGGCTAGGAATCGTGCTGAATCTTGATAAGGTGCAAAAATTTGTGAGAAGTTTCGGTATTTGTCATCAAAGAACTCCAAGCCCCTTGAAGCTAACTCGATGTAGGTAAGGTTTCTGCTTTCGGAAGGTTGGAATTCCCAGTAGGAATACTTGTAGTTGTTGCTGTTATTGTTACTACCTGAATTCAAGTAGAGTGCAACCTTGTCATGGTGAATCTCAAACGAAAAGAACGAGCTCGAAGATTTGTTAGTAGGAAATGAGGTCAAGTGAGTAGCTACACTTAGTCTCTGCCCCAAGAGTAAGATGTTTGTTGGAAAATTGAATGTTTGCCACTTTATGTTTTCTTGAGCATCAACTAGGACTAAATTTCCACTTTCAAGCAACTGCAATTTCTGCAACAAACACGACATAAAATAAAATTCAGGATTCGGTCTAGTTCTAAGGCTACAAATAAAACGAAATGTGACTTTCCAACTGGAAATATAGACTTACCTGATTACCTAATCTAAATCATAAAACTAAAACTCGAGCTATACCCAATAGCTTATTGACTATAACCTCGAATATCACCTATCTATATTAAATCGACCCATCCATAGACTTGGTTGCATCCTCTTGTACACATAATTTTGCATATTGCATATTAATGTACAAATATGATATTGAGTAATCCAATACTAACAATCTAGTCAATCTTAACTCTAAACAATTCAAATTACACAAAACCATTATTTGGATTATTCAGAATTAAGTATTAGTTACCTGCACACCTTGTCCAGAAGTCCCAGTACGCCAACCAATATCGTCGTCATTCACCCCTTTCAACCGAAGATCTCCCATTTTCGTGAGCTCGAGCACACAACTATCAGATGTATAAAACTTAGAAACATGCCCTGAACTCCAAACCATAACACTGCCTAGGAAGACTTGTAACGAGCACGCGTACCGGCCATCCATAGCCTCAACGCTAATTGCGGTCCTGAAATTGAGCGGCATTTGATCAGTTTCCATTAAGTAAGCCTTCCCATTGAAATCTCCACTATAATCACTTGGAATGGCTAAGGTGAACGTATAACCAACTGAAACATTGTTAGACTTGCAACATCCAAATATTATCAACATAAAAAATACCAAACTTATGTAACATAATGTATAGATTAACTTCATTTGTTATACTGTTATGCAGTATTTTTATGACTTTTAGTAGAAACATTTGAATGTTTTTTTCTAGATAGATTGTTGGGGTTGGTGGGTACGTATTTTGGGGTCAAAAAATAAACTAAAAGTTTGTTACTTTTATAATTTTCTATGCTTTATTTATTTCATTTTATATTTTAAAAAAGTTTTTGTCTGGTAATATAATTCTGCTAGTGTACAGTTTATGAAAGTTTATGTGTTTATTAATGATGTTTGTCGTACCAAAAAGAGGTTACTTTTAGCTATGGTGGGAGGCATTATCAATAAGGAGATCTTGTTGTGCTGCATATGGTAATCACAGAAGCCACTCGGCCAGCTAATTTGTCGATCTTTAGCTGATTTGTCGATTTTTTTTTTAATGAACGGGTAAAAATTACTTTATATTACAACGGGGATATTGAACGCAAAAACTTTATTCTCTTAACTAGTATGTACCTCGGGTGATGTCCCGGATCCCCCCGCAATATATATTCTCATGTATTAAAAATCCTCACATTAATTAGCTACTTATAAATTAATTATAAAGTAATAATTATTTTCTTAAAGGGATTATCACCAATGTGTAAATCTATCCACGTTTGAAACATTTGTTGCTTAAAATGTTCATAATTAGATGAATAATTTAATTTTACGGTTTTATTGTTATTTAACAATTGAGTACTCATCGACTTTATTCAAAAACCTTAGTTCGAAAGTAAGTCTTCGACTCCTAGACTTTTAGGATTTTTTTTTTTTAAGGACGATTGCCTATTTGAAATTTTAACTTTGATGGCGATGTCCGATTTTTTTTATTGAATTTTAAAATAATTTTTTTATCTATAAGCCAAATTTTAAAATATGTCATTGATACAAACATTCTTATATAAGAGGTGCATATTTTTTTTGAATTAGGATATGTTGACGTACAATACCATTGACTTTTGTAAGAGCACAATATATGTTATAGAAATATACGCTATACATGAGAAAATGTTATTCGAATTTTTAGCTCATGGATATATAATCACTTGACAATCATACTTTAAAATATAAATATAGTCCTACCGCTAATAAAGTTGTGGGTTAAATTTTTTAAAATATATCATAAATGGATTTATTTTGAAGTAGTCCTTAACACGAATATTATGATATAAAAATAATAAATTATTAAGATAATAGTTATTGAAAGTTGTAATTTGATTGATTGATTAAGAGGGTTATAAAACTCTAAACCAGCAATTTTATCCTTAAAATCTATCCAAATTTTATTAAAAATAAAACTCTAAACTAACTTTTTTATCTTACAAATTCTATCTAAATCTATCAAACATTTTTATCCTACGTGTCATATTAATAATTAATTATTGCCTACATGGCGTGACACTTGGCGAAAAGTTAAAATGCCAAGTGTCACTGTCTTGTGGCCTGGTTAAAAATTTAGCTTTATATATTAGTTACAAGTTTTGTGTCTGTGTGATGCCCAGGTTGTTTACTGAATTTTAAAATAAAACTTTTTATCTAAAATATATATGTAATTTAAATTTTCTACTCATGGATTAATAAACACTTGACAATCATACTTGTCCGTTTATGGGTATTTTATGGATTAATAATCACTTGACAATCTACAAAAATTAGAAGTAATAATGTACAACAAAAAAGAACAGTTGTCTAAAACTGTGATCTCTTTTCTTTTTCTCTGAACATCTAGGGAAAGCCTGGTTGCATGTTAAGAGGACGGTTATATATTTGATTTTGTATTTTTTTTTCCTTTGTAACTCTCTGGATCCGTAATTTGTATAGAAATATTAGTATTTTATTGAAAATAAAATTCTAAACCAAAAGTTTTATTGAAAACAAAACTCTAAAGTAACTTTTTTATCCTACTAAATCTATCCAAATTTTATTGAAAATAAAACTTTAAATAACTTTTTTATCCTACTAAATCTATCCAACTTTTTTTATCCTATTCTACAAAAAAATATATTCAAATAAATCCTACATATCATATTAATAATTAATCGTCGCCTACAACGCGTGACACTTGGCGAAAAGTTAAAATGCCAAGTGTCACTGTCTCGTGGCCTGGCTAAAAGTTTAGCTTTATATATTAGTTACTAGTTTTGTGCCCCATGTGATGCTCGGGTTGTTTATTGAATTTTAAAATAAAAAATTTTATGTAAAATATATGTGTTATTTATTTAAATTTTCTACTCATGGATTAATAATAACTTGACCATCATACTTGTCCATTTGTTGGTATTTTATGGATTAATAATCACTTGATAATATAAATAAAATTAGAAATAATAATGTACAATAAAAAAGAACGGTTGTCGAAAGCTGTGATCTCTTTTCATTTTTTCTGAACATCTAAGGAAAGGTTGGTTGCATGTTAAGACTAAAGAGAATAGTTATATGTAATAACATGTCTCTTTGATTGTTTAATTTTTTTTTTTCCATTTGTACCTCTTTTATCCGTCATTTGCCTAGGAATATTGGTATTTTATTGAAAATAAAATTCTAAACCAAAAGTTTTATTAAAAATAAAACTCTAAAATAACTTGTTTATCCTACTAAATCTTCTAAATTTTATTGAAAATAAAACACTAAAATAACTTTTTTATCCTATTCTACAAAAGATATATTCAAATAATCCTACATGTCATATTAATAATCAATTATCGCCTACGTGGTGTGACACTTGGCGAAAAATTTGTGCCCCAGGCAATGCCCGGATTGTTTATTAAATTTAAAGATAATTTTGTTTAATCTATATGTCAAATTTTAAAACATATCATTGATACAAACAGTTCTTGAAAGTGAAGCAAGTAGCTTGGTTAGAACAATAAGAAGAAATCAATTTAGAGTTGCAGTTATTTTCATGTTATTGGATGATATTCTTTGACATGGTTATCACTGCTATTTCTCCGGTTGGATTAAAAAAAAAGGAAAACACTATGTATTGAGGGCACATCCAAGGGAATGGAAGAAGGGGAGGATAACATTCGAGATTATGCAGGATTATACATGAAAGATCCTTTTAAGATAAGTTGTAACTTTAATGTCTTTAATTGTGCTCGTGTTTGACAGGCGGGTAATACGTTTGTCTATATGATAGCTAAATAGGAGATTGATATGAATTTCGAATACTTATATACGACTAATATCCCCCAAAGTCTTTTAAGAAAATTATGAAGTACGTACAATATTCGCAACGTCTTTTACAAAAATTATGAAGTACAATATAACCATCATATATAGTTGTGTACTTTTTATTATCAGCTTATTTAAATAATCTTAAATGGATCTCATTTTAAATTACCTTTTAAAACGAATTTCATTATATAAAAAATACTCCGTAACAGACTTATAAGATATTTATTGAAAATTATAATTTATTGAGAAATTCTCAATGGTGACCTCCAACTTCTTCTACGCACCAATGGTGACCTCCCTTTTTTTATATTATATAAAATGACCTTAGTTAAGAATTTTATCCCCCTAATAACATTATTTCATTAAATAGTTAATTAAAATTAACTATGGTTAATTTTTTTTAAAAAAATAACAACCACCAACCCATCCACCCACACCACCATCTCCACCAACCAGCCACCATATCCTCCTTCCTTTTCACGGTTGGAAACCTACTGCCTGACCACCTCTAGACTGCCAAAATCGAAACGATGACCACCCCCAGACCCCCAGATCGCCGAACCCAAACCCCCAGACTGTCGAACACCCCAAACCCCGACCAGTTTCCGCCCCCTTCCCCTCCCCCTCACCCGCCACTAGCTGAACCGAAACCACCCTTGCCCGAAACCCAAACCCAGTAACCCGCCACCTCAACCGAAATCACTTCTAGGTTTGGGTAGGTGGGGTGGTTTCGGGTTGTTGTTGGCGGAGAGGAGACTCAGAGGAGATAGAAAGAGAGGGTTATGGGTTATGGTGGGAGGAGAAGCGATGGTCTGGTTCTGGGTCTGAAGGAGGTGTCGGGTCTTGGTCTGGTGGGAGTTTTTGGTTTGGGGTAAGAATGAGGGAAGAGGTGGTGGTGGTGGTTGGTTGAAGGTGAAGGTTGCGGCGGCGGCTAGTATCGTCAGCTGGTTGATGGTGAATGGGGCGACACCGGCTGGTTGACGGTGAAGGAGGTGGCAGCGGCTGGCTGACGGTGGCTGGTTGGTTTTTTTTTTTTTTTTGGTTTTTTTAAAAAAAAAATAAAATAAAAATCTAACCATAGTTTAATTTTTTTTTAAATAATAAAATACTCATTAATGTCATATTTGAGATAAAATTCTTTAAAAAGGTCATTTTGTATAATTAATTTTCAAGAGGGTTATTATTGGTGCGTATCAGAAGTTGGGGGTCACCATAGAGAATTTCCCTAATTTATTTTGTACATAAGAAATTTCATATCAATGTGTGTGCGATACTTGGCGAAAAGTTAAAGAATTTATAAAATATTTATTGAAATTTAAAATTTAATTTATACACCTAAATTATTGGAATTTTATCGAAAATAAAACTCTAAATTAACAATTTTATCCTATAAATCATATCTATCCAATTTTATTGAAAATAGAACTCTAAACTATTTTTTTTTTTATCTTACAAAATCTATCTAAATCTATCCAATATTTTATTATGCGTGTCATATTAATAATTAACTATTGTCTACGTGACGCGACACTTGGTGAAAAATTAAAACGCTAAGTTTCGTTGTCTCGTGGCCTGGCTAAAAGTTTAGCTTTATATATTAGTTATATGATATGATAATTGTTTTTTTTTTTGTAGATTTTTTTATAAATAGATATTTATCTATGTTATTATAGAGTTGAAATTATATTTATTGAACTCATATTATTTTTGTTGAACTGAAAGTAATTAATTTTTACCAAACTATAATTATTTTTACTAATTAAAACTTATTTTTATTGATTCTCTATTATTTTTAAAAATAAATCAAATATATTATAAATGGATCTTATTTTAAAGTACTTTTTAAAACAAATTTTATGATGGAATTAGAATCAAGTTATAGAATATTTTTTAAAATTTATGATTAATTTTGTATATGTGAAATATTAGAAGTATATCAATAATAAAATTCTATATAAAATTTTTATCTTAAAAAATAATCCAAAATTCTCTTCCTTACCATCATATGTGTTACGATAGTATCTATTTGTCGCCTACGTGGCTCGACACTTGGCGAAAAAATTGAAATGCCAAGTGTTGCTGTCTCGTGGTCTGGCTGCAGACCGGCTTTATTTATTAGTGACTAGTTTTGTGCCTGAGCGATGCCCGGATTGTTGATAAAATTTTAGGATAAATTTTTTGGTTTGAATGTTAAATATGGTCAAATAAACCCTTTCGATCATTCTGAATAGTAAAAAAAAATTACTAATAATAATAATATGATTAGCATAAAAAAAAATTATAGAAACACTTTTTAAATGAAAAACCCCGTAAAGTTCTAACACCTTGCTAACATTGATATGAATTCATTTTAAGATTTTCTTGTATTGTACATTTATTGTTGTGTCCTAATTTTAGTAGTTTTTTACTTCTTTAATTTCA